TTCGTGGCAAGTAACAGCTGTGGCAGGCCTGTCCGTAGGACTCTAGATCTTGTGTGATCTCTTGTAGGTAATTTGTATCAAGTGCTACTTTTTGCTGCTTGTTTGTTTATTCAGTAACTTCCAATTAAACATGTTTTTATGAAACGACAAATTTGGTACAATCATTTCGTTTTGGAGTTCAAGAGATCCTGTTTTCCCAGAAGTGTTGTTGAGAAAGTGAAGTGTAATTGTGAGATGGGTTTCTAACTTCAATAAGCTGTACAAAAGTCTGCCAAATCTGTATGGATCCCAGATGGTCAGCAGCGTATCTGAAGAGAGAAGTTTTAGTGCTTCAAGGGAGCTGTGGAATTTCATATCTTGTTAATAAAATTGGCAATGTCTATCAAGTCTTGTATCTGGAATCATCCCCAGTATATCCAGTTTTCATTGATTTCTTCTTTCTTTGGCATTTCAGTGAAGAAAGTAATGTCTGTGATCTGTTTAAAATCACAATATTTTTCCTTTGTAGTGAGACATGCTATTTGATTGAAGTAATTGTAGGTAAAATTCAACGTACTGCATCTTAGTACTCCATAAATAATAATTCAAAACCTCAAAATATGAGTCTTTTCTTAAAAAAGCTGTATATTACTGGAGCTTAGAAGCTTAGTTATGATGTACACATAGGTTGGGATTTTACTTCTGCTGGAAATCCTACTTTGATTTCCTGTAAGCACAGCATATGCCAATTATTACATTCTGTGACTTCTTATTGTTATGGTAGATAAGCTCTTATAGCAATCCCAGCCATGTAAAAGTTAATAGCTTAGGTTTGTTTTTTTTTTTTTGGTAACATGAAATTTTCTTATTCTATTTGGTTTTTTTCAGCTGAGATAATCATTTGTCCTCTTAGACCATGTGTCACTGAGGTTGTTGATGATGTAGAATCATGCAGTACTGATAAAACCCAGAACATTTTTCTCCTCCAGTTCCAACTCAAGGCATGTTCAACAAGAACAGTTTTTTCAGGATATTGTCCAGTTGGCTTTTGGATATCTTCAGTGGTGGACATTGTCATCTCTGTGAACAATTTGTTACAATATTCAGCCACCCTTTATAATAATTGTTTTTCTCTGTGTTTCAATTTGTGTTCATTTCCTCTTATTCTGTCACTGGGTGCTGATGAGAAGAGTCTTGTTTCCATCTTCTTTACTCCTGCCCCCCACTTCTGAATCACTGTGCTGTGTTAAGATGCCCCTTAACCTTTTCTTCTCCAGGCTACACAGTCTCAGTACTTTGACGCTTTCCTTGTATACGAAAGAAGCTCCCAGATCTTAAACTTCTTCATGGCTGGATTTGCTCAGGTCGGTTTACATTTCTCTTCTGCTTGGCAGCCCAGAACTGAACCTGGCATACCAGAGCTCTGGCTCGCCAAAGCTGAGAAACCTCACCTTCCTCAGCTGGAGATTCTAAAACAGCCCACAGTGCTGTTTGGCTTCATTGATGGCACATAGCAAGTTTGTTGGCTACCAGGACCCACAGATATTTTTTCTGCAAATCTGCTCAGGGACGTGATTTAGTGGAGGGTTGTTAGTTAGGGTAGTATGGTTAGGTTGCGGTTGGACTCTGTGATATTTAAGGTCTTTTCCAACCTGAGTGATTCTATGATTCTATGATCTGCTTTCCAACCACTATGTGTCTAGCCTAGTGGTGCCCAGGACAGTACCCCACGCTGATCAAACATCAGAGGTTTCTAAAGAACGTTTAAAACATCACAAGTGGATGGATCTGGGGATTCCCTATGACAAGAGGGAATGGTTTTAAACTAAGGGAAAGTTTGTGTTAGATATTAGGAGGAAGTTTTTCACACAGAGGGTGGTGACACACTGGAACAGGTTGCCCAAGGAGGTTGTGCATGCCCCATCCCTGGAGGCATTCAAGGCCAGGCTGGATGTGGCTCTGGGCAGCCTGGGCTGGTGGCTGGCGACCCTGCACATAGCAGGGGATTGAAACTCAATGATCTTTGTGGTCCTTTTCATCCCAGGCCATTCTGTAATTTTGAATCTCATTCTTGTTTCTGGTATGAACTATTTTAGATGCAAGTTATTTTAAGTACTAAGTTTCATTTTTTGTTTTAAGGTCTTAAGATTCGCATACATGTTTTGCACATCATCTGTGCATGTGTTCTCAATATGTATGCTCTTGTTCCAGAGCAGGTGCAGTGCAAGGAGTTCAGCCATGTTTGTGATCTGTGTTAAGATGAATGGAACAGCATTAAGCTAAAATTCTCTTGATCGCTCTACCAGCCATGACATGATAGTTTCTACAGCTCAGCTGATGCGTACTAGCTTGTTACATGCTGGTACTTCAGTTGTATGTATGAGCTTGCTTACTTTCTGAGAAGAAATGGGAATAACACATGGAATATTCAATTAAATGTGTGTTAATTAAACTCAGAGTATGTATACTTATTTTGAAGTTCTATTTCTAAAAAAATAAAACTAAAAACCTTCTTCCAAGTTCCTGAGGTGCAGTAAAATGATCAGGTTTTACTTTTTAAATTTAGGAATAATACTTCACGTTAGCTCATTTCTTACGTCAGCCGAGGTTTATGGTTTTCATAAAACTTCCACTGGAACACTGACTTTACAACTGTATTTTATATCCCCAGGCAACTTTCTTCTGTAGGGCATCAGATATTTAATGTAGTATATAATCCTCTCCTTCAGAAGAATGAGGCAGAAAATTATTTGAATAAAGAACTATACAGAAAAGGCTTCTTTTCCTGAGTTTGCATCACTGGAGCAAGCAGTGTAGCTCAGTTTCTCTTAAGAACAATATCCCTATTTTTTCTGAAACAACTGAAACACTTTTTATTCTGTCTATTTATAAAGGGATAAAATGATCCTATTTTGTCATACATTTTTCTTAGGGAAATGTACATAACTGAAAAGGTCAGTGTTCCAAAGCTGTATGGATATTTCCACGCTTTAAGACAGTTGTAACCTATCAGGTTGTTTGAGCAGATGGTTCACCATGTACCTGCAGGCAAATATTTCTTCTTCAGTCTTTTTCTGATGTGTCCTCAGGCCTAGCAAGCAGCTCTGGTGTTGTCTTAATTTCTCTCGGATGAGTCTTTCTGAGGCTCACATGTATTTTACTGACAAATTATTGTCCACTTTTTTTTTTTTTTTGTGGATGATAGGAACTTTTGGATCACTGCTCTGTGACGTTCACAGACATTGCTTGCACATTAACATCTTTGTGAATGAGCAACCTCCTTTCCCTTGCTCATACTTAGTCTGGTGACAAACTGTTAACAGATACGCAGCAAAACAGTATTTGGGCAATGCTTGCCTTTATTGGCACTGTCTTCAGAGGTTGTTGCTGTGAATTTTGTCTTACTCAGACTGATACTTCAGTGAGCAGCAGTGTTCTCCATAGAAGTAAAAATGCATGTTCATGAAACACAACCTTGGTATTACATCTATTTTCAGAAAGTCAGTGTTGTTCCTCCTTCCTTCTCTCTAGTTGTCTCCATCATGTTTGCTCAGGTTCCTAAAATCTTCCATTTCTGAATTTTTTTTTCCACACTCACGGTGCTGCAGCTCACTGCATAGCCAGAACACCGCTCAAAGCTCATAAAGGGTTTGTTGTAGTGTGCCTGTGCAAGATCTTAGGCAAAACTATAGTCTTCTACTGAAAAAGTAGTTTATCTAACTAAAAGACAGCTTAATGCTTTTACTGATTTATATAGAAAATGTAGTGGTGTTTCCTCTAGTGTGAACACCTGTCCATAGGAAATGAACAGCTGACAACTGCACAGCTGGTAGTTAAACAATGAGGAATATTGTCTCAAGATTAATTTGAGTACTAAGCATAATTACCAGTATTATTTACAGATGAGTGGTACCTGAATTGCTTCCAGGACCTCAACTTCAGTTTTGTTGCTTTTCCAATCTGCCATTCCAGTCAATTCATATAAGTTGTCATGTATCTGGTCTGATGTGATGCAGGCTGGATCACCAAAAAATGGGGAGAAGGGAAAGAGTGGGAAGTGAAGGAAGATAAAAACTGCATATGAAGTGTGTATGGAAATTCATTTTATCAATGCTATGTTAAGAATGCAGTGTGTTTATCTAGATTAACAGCTTTTGTGCCTTCACAGTGAATTTAATAGAAAAATAAGTGTTCCTACATAGTTCTATAGCAAAAGTGGATTTTGAAACAGAGGATTCAGAGAACTTGTGGCATTGATGTTATTAATATGAGGTTGTCTTTAAGGATTGAAGACTGTGCTCCAGTAGCTGTTTTATTATGCTGTTACAGTTCTTCAGTTTCAAACTCTGGTGTTTCAAGATAAAGTTTCACCAAGTTTCACCAAGTTCAAGATAAAGACCTACTTTTTCTGTCAGCAAACTCACTTCTTCATTTTTTTAGGGGAGGATAACATTAAAGAACAACCATATCTCTTTTCAAATAAGAGTTATTTTGGTCTACTTGTTTATTTTTGACTTACTTTCTATCCCTATACTGAAATTACTCAAACTTCTGTATTTTACTCTCTACCAAAACACAGAAATGGAAGAGGATAACTCCAGTGTTTAGTAGCTTCTGATGATGAAAATAAATTTTACACGATGAATGTAGCAAGGCATATTTGGTCCAGATTACATTTTTTTGTATACCTGAGGGTGATTTTTTACAATGAGGGGAACTGAATTCAATTCAAGAATTTCAGTTTTAGTTTGACATAAGTTTCTGTGTTAACCTTTCCATTCACTTAAGGCCAGTTGTGCAGTAGTACTTAGTACTCCATTTGTTTTCCATAATAAACAGCCAGTTCCTTAAAGCAATTAAACATGTTTTACAGGGATATGAGTACAAAAATCATTAATATTAATGTGATGCTGTGACTTCTTAAATAAGACAACATCAACTTTAAAAATAGAAAAACTTAAGATTTAAGTATTCTCTAAGTGTAATGTTATAGTGAGTCTGTAATGTTGTTGTAATTGCAGGTACCGGGAGGCTATTCAAAAGTGGGATGAAGCACTTCAGTTAACTCCAGAGGATGCTACACTTTATGAGATGAAATCACAGGTAAATCATCACAGTTCTTTATCAGTCTAGAAATTCATAAATAAACAACTGTGATTATTACTACATACTCTCCAGCTATGTGAAATTGATCAGTGGATAGAGTACAACAAAACTTACTTAGGATTTCCATTTCTTCTCAACACAACAGGATACCTTATAGCAGGAATTAAAAATGTGGTATATCCCAGCCAATCACAGTAAGTAACATCGTTGCTAGGATGTGAATTAGGATGAACTTCGAATAGTTGATAACCCTCTAATTCATTGCAGTCTCTCTGCAAGGCTTGTTTACCCTCAGTGGAATTAAAAGATCTTCCCAATGGAGTGTCATCTGCAAATGTACTTAATGTGTCGTTCAGGGGGACCTTGACAGGCTAGAAAGATGGGCTCAGGTGAACCTGGTAAGGTTCAATACAGGAAAGTGCAAGGTTTTGCACTTGGGCCGGAGGAATCCCAGGCATTCATACAGACTGGAAGGAGCAGTCCTTGAGAGCAGCCCTGTGGAGAAGGACCTGGGGGTCTTGATGGATGAAAAGCTTAATATGAGCCAGCAGTGTGTTCCTGCAGCTTGGAAAGCAAATGGTATCCTGGGCTCCATCAGAAGAGGGGTGACCAGCAGGGACAGGGAGGTGATTGTCCCCATCTACTCTGCTCTTGAGAGGCCCCATCTACAGTGTCCAGGTCTGGAGCCCCCAGTACAAGAAAGACAGAAAGCTGTTGGAGAGGGTCCAGAGGAGAGCCCAAAGATGATAAAGGGGCTGGAGCACCTCTCCTACCCCTATAAAGACAGGCTGAGAGAGCTGGGCTTGTTCAGCCTGGAGAAAAGAAGGCTGTGGGTGACCTCATTGCAGCCTTTCAGTACCTAAAAGGAGCTTACAAACAGGAGGGGAATCAACTCTTTGAAAGGGTAAATAATGGCAGGACAAGGGGAAATGGTTTGAAGTTGAGGGAGTGAAGATTTAGGTTGGATGTCAGGGGGAAGTTCTTTACAGAGAGAGTGGTGAGGTGCTGGAACAGGCTGCCTAGAGAGGTTGTGGATGCCCCGTCCTTGGGGGTGTTCAAGGCCAGATTGGATGGGGCCCTGGGCAGCCTGGTCTAGTATTAAATGTGGAGGTTGGTGGCCCTGCATGTGGCAGGGGGGTTGGAGATTCATGATCCTTGAGGTCCCTTCCAACCCTGGCTATTCTGTGATTCATGTACATCTTGAAGAAAACTGGCCCCAGTATGGAGACCTGTGGAACTGGCTACCAGCCTGTTACAACTTATTTACTATAACCAATGCTTTGAGCCCAACTCATCAGCCAGCTTTTTGCTGATTGCATTGTGTTTATCTAGCTGTATCTGGACATTTTGTCTAGAAGGATACTGTGAGACACAGTAACAAAAAAGCTTTGCTGAAATCCAAGAAGAAGAGGTCTTTGCACTCATGAACCCATGTTGGCTGTAACCAATGACAGGATAGATAAATCTGTCTTGGAAAAAAGTATTAATTGAAGTATAATTATGATTTCAATTCATCAAAGCCAAAGGCTTGCATCCATCAACACCTCACCAACTTCTGATTTCTTTTTGTAGCTTAGATGGCAAAAGTGCCAGGTTGTACTGTTCTGTTTGGATGAGGAAATTCCTGTCGCTATCTATGTGACAAGATACAAAATTACTTTTACCTGCCCATATTAAATAAAGATGCTTTCTACAAAAATGTTTTAAAGTTGGATTAAGAATGAGAACAAGGAATGTGTGGCTTCAGATTTCTTATATTGTTTTCCTGTGTTTAATACCTGTATAAGCTGCATTTCTTATTTCAGTTGATAAAGACTGCTGTCCATCTTTCCCATCACATTTTTTCTACTTTCTTATTAGTTTTTATTATTCCTTCTTTAGGAAAATAACGTTGTAATCAACATAATGGAAACAAAATACTTGCCAAGCTTCTGAAAATGTCACTTTTATTTTATTAATTATGTTTGTAGGACATAGCTTACTAGGCTTTGGGGAAGATGCAAAGTAGCAGTGTTATGTATATCTTTGCATTTACAAAGACTATTTAAACTGGAGTGAACAGGGCCTCTTTCCTCACATGACACCTTAGGTTTCTTTTTTTGAAAATATAAAAAAACCTTGTTTAAGCTAATGTACAACAATATATGCATGTTTGGATTTTGGGAGAGACTTCTGTTGTATCAGAGGAAATATTGAGAGCTGTTTCTTCTTCATTCATGTTTTCTGGAATTCTCAGTTAATACTTCAATTCTTCATTGTGCACAACATATTTCCTTAGTGAACACATGCTTTTTTAAAGCTAAGAGAGGTAAAAGGGAAAGTTAAAACAGTACATCAACGAATGTTTATGTAACTGTTGGGAAAATGGCTGTGTTGTTTTTTTTTGTTGCCTTTGACACTGTCAAAGCCTTTGACACTGTCTCCCACAGTATTCCCCTGCAGAAGCTGGCAGCCAGTGGCTTGGACAGGTACACTCTTGGCTGGGTAAGGAACTGGCTGGGAAGCTGGGCCCAGAGAGTCGTGGTGAATGGAGATAAATCCAGCTGGCGACCGGTCACGAGTGGTGTTCCCCAGGGGTCGGTGCTGGGGCCTGTCCTTTTCAATGTCTTTATTGATGACCTGGATGAGGGCATTGAGTGCACCCTCAGTAAGTTTGCAGATGACACCAAGTTGGCTGAAAGCGTTGATCTGCCTGGGGGTAGCGAGGCCCTACAGAGGGATCTGGACAGGCTGGAGAGCTGGGCTGAAGCCAATGGGATGAGGTTCAACAAGGCCAAATGCCAGGTCCTGCACTTTGGCCACAACATCCCCAGGCAGTGCTGCAGGCTTGGGGCAGAGTGGCTGGAAGACTGTGTAGAGGAAATGGACCTGGGAGTATTGATTGATACTTGGCTGTACATGAGCCAGCAGTGTGCCCAGGTGGCCAAGAAGGCCAATGGCATCCTGGCTTGCACCAGAAACAGTGTTGCCAGCAGGAACAGGGAAGTGATTGTCCCTCTGCACTCAGCAGTGTCCAGTTTTGGACCCCTCACTGCAAGACACTGAGGCCCTGGAGCGGGTTGAAAGAAGGGCAACAAAGCTGGTGAGCAGTCTGGAGCACAGGCCTTATGAGGAGTGGCTGAAGGAGCTGGGATTGTTCAGCCTGGAGAAGAGGAGGCTCAGGGGAGACCTTACTGCTCTCCATAGCTACCTGCAGGGAGGTTGTAGTGAGCTGGGGGTCGGCCTCTTCTCTCGTGTAACTGGTGATAGGACTAGAGGGAATGGCTTCAAGCTGCGCCAGGGGAGATTCAGGCTGGACGTTAGGAAATATTGTATTGCTTGTCTGAAAGAGTGGTCAGGCACTGGAATAGGCTGCTCAGAGAGGTGGTGGAGTCACTGACCCTGGAGGTGTTCAAGGAATGTTTGGATTTTGTGTTGAGGGACATGGTTTAGTGAGAACTATTGGTGATGGGTGGATGATTGGACTGGGTGATCTTGTAGGTCTTTTCTAACCTCGGTGTTTCTGTGATTCTGTTTTCTGTGATTGTCTTGTTCAGTTTTAAAATTTTTACTGCTAATGTAATTTGATTCTAGTATAAAGAAAACAAAAAGGAGGACAGGTTGTGGTCAGTATGGCTTTTTTTGGTTATCACACCTTTGTTGTCTGCATACTGAAGAAAGTTAGATTTTGTAGAGCAATTGAAAAATTAGAAGCTCCTTTCAATGCAGTAATGCTGGAGGAGTTTTTTGTTCTGTGCAGCTACTGAAGTTTTAGATCTTATCTAGTTTTGAATTTGATTTGAGAATTAATGTTTTAAAAGATTTTTCTTCCTGAATTATTTTGGGTATTATTAGATTGCTTCCAGTTGATATATATGCATATACAGGTTATAGATAGCTTATGTTAGAAAAACTTGACTGTAATGGGGTTGGTGGGTGAAAAGTTGTTTGATGAATTGATTCATTCACAGAATTTGTGGATGCCCATTCCTTGGAGGTTGTCAAAGCTGGGTTGGTTGGAGCCCTGGGCAACCTAATTTGATGGTTGGCAGCCTTGCCCATGGCAGGGAGTTGGAGTGAAGCTGCAGATTTTTTTCCAGTACAGTTCAATCATTCTGTATCTTAAAGGACACTGAGAGAGTGGGCATTTGTTCTTCCTACTTTCTCATTGGACTAGATTTGTAGTCAGTAATTTCTTCTTTTATTTTAGAAATACCAATGTGTTTTCTTGTTGTTCAAACCTCATGGGAACTTCACAGTAGTACACCCCATAACTTGGACACGATTTGGATCAGATTTATATTTTCTTTAGATGCCATATTAACACTACAGATCTTCTTTATGATTAAAGTTCTAGATTCCTATGTAATTCTGCAATGATATGGTGCCATAATGTCTTAAAAAGTGTAAAGCTCCTTTAAACACTTATTCATACTTTAATACCTTTACAACAGTGCTAGCGTAAGTGAAAGGTCTGTGTCACCTAGTATTTTGACCACATTCAGTAGGGAATGACTTGGCAAGAATCATATAAATGGCAGAAGCACTACTTTTTTTCAGCCTCCAGCAGTTGTTGGTTGTGGGAATTCTTTGTGTTCAGAAGTGTGAAAAGATTTTATTCTTCAGCATTTGTCTCATCACTTTCTCATCTCATGTAAATTTTTAGCGTTCACGAAGCTATGCGGTAAGGAGTTCCAAATCTTAATTATGCACTATATGAAGAATTACTTCCTTTTGTCTATTTTGAACTTTCCACTTCATAGATTTACTTTATGACCTTCACTCTTCTATTGGAGAAGACTGTGTAATATAATTTTGCTTCAGTTAGCGTTTTTCCGTGTTGCTGTAATGGTTGTTAACTTATGTAGTTGTTCATTTGTGCATTTAGTTTTTTATTCTCATAATAAAGATATTCCTTCAAGGTGTGAACTCATAGTTTCTTTTGACCATAGATAAAAACTTAAACCCTGTTTGAATAAAATAGATACCTAGTAGAATTTCTTCTAGTTTGGATAGAA